GAATAGAATTGAATTGAACTCAATTCTGCCAGTTAGTTATGGAAAAAGCTATCTACAAGGGGCTGGCTGTTCCTCGGCCCTTCTTTATCAATGTTCTTGCCTTAATGCAGTGGTATGTTATACAAAAGCTTGGGGAAAAACTTATCCTGCCCTACATATGAAGAATAGGGTCTGTTGTCTGTTGTACATCATTGCTCTTTGCATCTAATTTTTGTATTCATCACCTTTCCCATTGTATTGATTTTTCCTTTTGGGGACTCCCTTATCCCTATTCTCTATCCAAACTTCCAGTTGTAAAAAATTGGCACAGACCCCAGGCCTTGTTATTCAGTATCTATAGTATTTCAACCATCTGTGACTGTCCTTGTTGGGAATATGTGACACAACATAGGCCAGGGACATAATTCTGGGATTTGGGGAGCCAGTTGGGAACGAGAGTGCTCTTTATGCTGAGATTAATATTGATAAAGACAGTGTAAGCCTGGAGATTCTGGGAACCCTAGAAGGGAGAGCACACATTTCTGAATAAAGCCAAAACAGAAGAGAGCATAATGCTTGAGGGTATTTAACCCAAGTCCTGTGAGTGTTATTTAAATTCTTGAGTCTAGAACATGATTCCTGAAACCACACTGGCACTAATAAATATTGACTATAAGTGACATTAGGTGAAGTTATTTAACTTCTTGGTTTCCTCATTTATGAAATGGCGATACTAATGATAATTTAATTTAATTGTAATTATTAAATAAGATAACACGTAAAAAGGATAATGGATAATATTTACTGATCACTAGCTGTGAATGGTCAGTAAAAGTTATCCATCATTAATATAGATTTTTTTTTTTATCCATAGCTTTTGAGTTACTTACAGTAATAAATTCTCTCTTTGCTTAAGCCGATTTGGGTGGAGTTTCTTTAACTTACAACAAAATGGGTTTTATCTAACACAATTAGTAAAAGCATAAGGCCACAACTTGTTTGGGTTTATGATAGACCAAATCTTTATCTAGGCTGTAGCTGATTGAATCAACTGAAGCAGGACCATCTGGTTCTCCTTAGTTCGTATCTCTTAGTAACATTACCTGAGCTCTCTGGACCCCACCTTCTAGGTAGGAAGAGTTTTCCTCATCTCTATCCTATTTATTCATTAAAATCCTTCTTCCTAAATGTTGCCAATTAATCCAGTTCATAATGCTCTGGCATGAAGCTATAATTTAAAAATATATAAGAATACAAACAATGAAGAAGAAAATGTAGAAGGACAGAGACAAAATGAAATAAAATATCTCTATAATTAAAGTATATAATCAGTTGTTCTTTACTTAAGCCTTGTACTGGAAACTTTTCCATACTAGTTCAGAGTAAATGATATTATTACTAAGCAGCCTAAATAGCATACTTTTCCTGGTGTAGATTTCTGGAGGGATATGCAGGGGATTTGCATGCTTAATTCCCATTAGCACCTGTCACTGGGATTTATTATCCCACAGTTAATTCTCTTCTTACTGCAGCCAAGAAAAAGAAAGCCCTGGTATATGGATTTAAATGAACCTTTTCATTTTTCAAAATGAGATAAATTTCATGTCTGTCCCTTAAACACCTACAGTCTTCCAACCCTAAAAAGTCAAGTTCAGACAAATTTTTGGTGGAACCTTTGCACATACTTGATTTCATTCAACACCTATAAAAGCCTACTCATCATTTGAGAATTTTTCCAGGGAGATAGAGCAGAGAAGAAGAATTAAACAAGTCCTTAGCTCAGTTTTAAAATCCATCAGCTCTCAGTCAATTTGTTTCAACAGGTGTTTACTGATCACCTATTATGTGCCAGGTAGTGATCTAGGTTCTGGGTATAGAGTACTAGATGTACTAGAATAAAAATCCTCCCCTTGAGAAGCTTATATTCTACTGGAGGAGAGGCATACATATAAATATGATATATGCACTTGTGTATATATATGTATATATAAAAAATGCTGTAAGAAAAATCAAAAAAAGAAAGAAAAAAGAAAAATCAAAGCAGGGAAATGCAATTGAGGACGATGGGTTGTTGCCATTTTTAGGTAAGTTGGTTAGAGAAGACCTCTCCAAGCACTGACACATGTATTCATCTTAGTGATGTTAACAAGATAAATATGCTTAGAAACCTTAAAAACACTGCATTATCTCTTTCATGATGAAAAAAAATAACAGTCAACAAAACTAGGCAAGTTGCATCTTAAACTCTAGATAGTGAGAACCTTGCCTGCTTGGTAAAGCTGGTCTATGTGGTGGTGCTTTCCCTGTCTGGTCTGTGCCCCCTCTGCTTTCCCCTCTCCATCTCCTCTCTCCACACAATTTCTTCTCAAACCATTCTCCTGTTTCCCCTTCTTATCTCTTACTCTTTCTTTTAAGGAACTAATTTCATGTTGTGTCTGTCACTGAGCCCCTCAATGCCAAAAAAGGTGCCAATTTAGACCTTCATTAATTGTCTTGGACTTTGAAGATTCTTCACTACTGAGCTTTTCCAGCAATCAATCAACCAATGTTGATGGAGTATAAACCATATATCAGGCTCTGTGTTAGAGCTTGGGATTCAAACAACTATCAAGGAAAAAATCTCAGTTTAAAAGAGTTCAGTTCTAATTAGGAAAAACAGCCAATATGATTTTAAGTGAATAAATGCATAATGTGGCTGTTAATGAGATGTGAGTGTGTGTGTGGAGCTTTCTTAGTATATATTGTTCTTGGAAACAGTGTAAATATAAATATGTAACATAATCATCCTCTTTTAAAGTAATCCACAGATTATTAGTGGCCTACCTATATCATACAACATGGTAGCCACCATCTGCATGTGACTACTAAAATTAAAATTAATTAAAGACAAAAAATGCCATTTCACCCTAGCCACATGTGTCCAATAACTCCTTTTGGGAGATCACAGAAATAAATGGGTTTTCTCATGGCAGACAGTTGCACTGGGGCAGATGAGAACCTTCCATCATCAGTATGAACAGCAGTTAACAATTTTATACATCCTTCTCTTGGACCCATCTTACGAATTAGGAAACAGAGGCACCTGGCCTTATTGTTAAGTATCAGTCTGGTAGTCACCTGCCAATACATCAGCATGTCTGGTTGGGGCAGCTAATGAGGGAGAAGACGAGTTGAGGGTGGCAGGTGGGGCCTCCATGGAGAGAGGAAGTGGCCCTTTTAATCACTGCCCTTTGCAAGTACCTGTGACATTTTCACATCTCTCAGAGCCATCCAAGATAGATCTCATCAGCTAGAGGTTTAGATGGAGTGGGGCAGGCAGAATCATGGAACGTTGGGATTTTGAAATTCTCTAATGAGTAATTTCACAGATGAAACTGAGGCAGGCAAAGGTTATCTGACTACCCAGATCACAAGTCTCCTGCGTGCGTGTGTGCGAGTGCGTGGTCCCCTTGGCACCAAGATTTTAAAATTCCCGATACAACTTTTAATAGTTTAGAAACATACTAATCTGGGGAAGTCGTTTTCTTCTTCCTAAAATGTTGGCTGTGTCCGTGTGCTGTCGTATTAATCCATCCACTTTCCTTTTGTCTAGTCTCTCCTAATTCTACCGACCCAACCTTGCATTCCTTCAACATTACAACGGCGACGCATAACCTAGCTGTCTAACAATCTTTTCCTGTAAAATAAGGTAACCACATTTATAGCAGTTCGAATTCTTACACAAGCAGTTAGAAATTTGGAAACTATGTCCTAAGTTCCACCATCACTTGTAAGTGAGTATCTACAAATGTTGCTGTCCATTTTTCTCTGGGAGTTTCTCCCGTATCACCTCACCACCCTGGCCAGCCACCACGGTGCAAGCGGAGAAGGAATTACTTGAGAAAGAGTTTCCGTCGAGCTTTTAGTTTCTGTTCCACTGCAAGGAGTCAAAGACACTCAGCGTAAAGCAGTCTGACCAGCAGCCCAAGATTGCAGCAGGTTGGGGCACTGTAAGAGCTTCCAGACTCTTTCTCCCTCGAGCCGGACTTCGGTTCGAGTCCACACCCCGGTTTATGAAAGCTCAAGACCGAAGTCTCAGAGAGCGCAGTCCCAGGGAATCTGGTGCAGACTTTGGCGGCGTGGTGAAGAAGCTGTCAGGCGGCGGGCTCAGCTCCACTGCGCGCGGCCAAGTGGCCCCGGGCTCGCCCGCTGTGCTCCTGGAGTCTGGGTCTGGCGCACCGCGGGAGGCAGACTCTCTCCCCCTCTTAGCAGCCGCCTCTTCCCCGAGGTCTCTCGCCGCAGCTCCTCCGGGTAAACCAACAGCCGGTCTCCACCTTCCGCCCTGGGCTGCTGTCTCTCTCCAATCTTTGCTTACATAAGGCGGACCGGCGCGCTCCCGCCGCCGGTTACCTCCCCCCCACCCCAGTGGAGTTGGGCTGCGCCCTCCACGCCTCCTTGGCCAGCACCTCCTCGCGCTCGGACGCCCTACTCTAGGAGGTGACCCTCCTTGGCCACCCAGCAACAGCAGCAGCAGCAGCAGCAGCCACAGCAGCCAGGACGTCTCTCTGCCGGCGTGAGAACACTGAGATTGGAGATCGGGGCGCCGGGCTGTGCAAGCTTCCCCCTCCGTTCCCTCCTCCCACTCCCCCGCTCCACCCCCGGTGCCTGTGTGTGTTCCGCACAGGCGAGGAGACCCGGAGAGCAGTCCAGACTCTGCGCGCGGCGGAGCTGCGGCTGCTCCGGCTGCTGGGGGAGCAGCGGAGGTGGCCGCCTTGCGCCTCCCAGGACTTCCCAAGTGGGGGCAGCGCAGTCACTAGCGGGAGGCGTCTGTTAGAAGACACTGGAAGAGAGGGACCTTCAAACTCCTCCTCGGCGTCTCCTCTCCGCCCGTTTTTGGCCCCTGCCCTTGGAGAAAGTGGAGTGTGGGGCTTGTCCTTATTTCTTCGGACTGTCGTCAGTGCTCGGATTCCGCTGCTGCCCGGTGGGGCTTTCCGCTGTTTGCTGGTCTCTCGGTTTCTCCCCTCTGCACACCTCTGCCGACGATGAGGAAAGGTCTGCGGGCGACAGCGGCCCGCTGCGGACTGGGACTGGGATACGTGCTGCAAATGTTCGTGCTACCTGCCCTGGCCCTACTCAGCGCCAGCGGCACCGGCTCGGCCGCTCAAGGTAAGGGGGTCCGCCGGGCTCCGCGGCCGCCTCCCTTCGTTTCATCTTCCCTCCTTCTCCTCCTCCCCAGCTCTCCCGACTTCCTCAGTCTGCGTGGTTGCTCTGTACTGGGAACCACTTTAAATTTCACTTTCCCAACTAGGCAAGAAGCTTTGATTTTTATTTTTTACTCTGCCTTTCGAGATGGGCACGGATGGCCCAGGGAGGAGCAGGGTGTGGACACGCATCGGATCTGTCTCAGCGCGTGTGAGCGCCTGGGGTGTCTTTAGCACTTTGCGCTCCGCACGCGCACGGTGTTGCATACTGTACATACAGAGGTTTGGAGAGACTCTCCGGCGGGTGGCACGCCATAGACGCTTCCTGATGCGCGCGGTGCTCAGAGGCTGGCGCGCTGTGCCACGGCTGGGCGTGTAGGACCTTCTTTGAGTCTCTGAGCACACCAGACGCTGAAGGGCGCACAACTAAGGAAATGTGGCCATTGCCGCCAAGGACCCGTAGGCGCTGGTGCCCTGTGGCTGCTAATGGGGCGATGGGTCGCTAACACAGCCCACCCCGCCCGGCGGCACACGCAACCCGAGGCAGGCCCCGGGTGTGCCTGCCTCGGCACTCGCACCCTCTTCGTGGCGCCTCCCACCCGGCGACTGGGAACGAAAACCCCATAGCTCTGCGGGAAGAGGCAAACCGAATCCCAAACTCCCTGGGGAGTTTATAACTGTGACATTTTAATTGAACGCATGTGAGCTCTGAAATAAGTGCTTGGGGCCCTGGGAGAGCGAGGTTGGGAGAGAGTGGCCTGGAGTTGGGAATGGGTCGGGGAGGAGGGGAGGTCAGGAGCTGCTCGCCAGCTCCCTTCTTGTCCGGGAGTTTGAAGTGGTAGCGGCAGCTTCCAGCTTTCCCCGCCCGGGAGGCCGAGTGGAAGGCAGAAGGAAAGAGCGAGCCAAGGCGGCCCCTCCCGGATCTCTCGCCGGTCACCTGGGCCCGTTCTCAAGCCCGGAGCCCACCTGGGTCTTTTCGCCCGGTTTAGTGGTGATAGCCAGCCCAGTAGAGGAGGCTTAGGTTTTCCTGCAGGGGAGGGGGTAAAGGAAGCTCGTGCAGCGTCGGGAGGCAATTCAGGGATTCTCCCTCTCCTACCGCACCTTCCCTCATCTGGGTTACAGGTCTTTCCAAATCTGGAGAGCAGAGGAGGCGCGGCGGTAGCCCCAACTCCCCGGGTGATGTGCAGACTGTGACATTTCCCCACCGCATTCCCTCTGATCTCGGAGAGGCGCTGGGGGCGGACAGTGCAAGCGAGTGTGGTCTGGGTGGGGAGGTAAATGATTAGCAAGGCTTGGTGAATTAGCGATAGCTACTTCGGGAGTAAATTTTCCTGCTTCCCTGCTAAGTGGCCAGGCTCATAAATCCTTCCTTCCCTTCTCGCCCGAACCCTCCCGTCCCCGAGGTTCTGCTCTGGTTTCCTTATACAGAGCTCATCTGCCCATTTTACGAAAGAATCTTCGCTGAGAATCGTAGCTGGTTGTCGATTTCCAGGCATTGGTAAGAAGTTCTCAGGGCGGCAGCCTAAGATGCTTAGTGGAGGGCGGGAGGGTATCTGGGAGCTTAAGTGAGCAACCTGATGAATAGTCGTGGAATCAACTGCGTGACTCCCTGTGGAATTCTCCTGCTGTTATTGGGCGCACAAAAGCCTGAGCCACCGGGTAGGGGACCGGAGGGAGGCAGGGAAACCCGCACGGTGAGAGAAGTGTTTGGGAACAGGACAAGTTAAAGTCCCCAAAGATGCCAAACAGGAGATAGGATTCCTGCTGAGAGCTTAGGGCAGCCAAATCAAAAAGACCGGGTAGGAAAAGGATCAATAAAGATAATCAAACAGGAGATTGTCAATGGATTAATACTGAAAGAAAAAGGGCAAAAGATTAAAAAGAAAAGGTGCTCAGGGTAGAGAAACTAAGCGTTTGCCTCTTGCACTCTTTCTCTTGATAGACCAGGCGAGTCAAAGACCGAGCATCGATTCTCATCACAGGTAGAAAAATAAAATGTGTTCTGTGAACGTCAGGGCAGCTCTCCATCTGGTTTGTTTCGTTCCTTCACTTCTTGGTTAATAAACTTTTTGTTTGAATCTTGTGGTCTGTGAAATGCCCTGTTCCCCCACTTTTATCCTTGTTATCTACCATGTTCCAGGATACCAGCCCTTCCTGTGTTGTCTGTTAGGTATCAGAGGAAGGATAAAGCACCAAAGTCCACTATCAGCTGCTATCAACCACTGTCACCACCACTCTAACCATTACCCCAGTCGGTGTCCCACTGAACCGCCATTAACGCTTTCCTGGCAGGATCACACATTTCATAAAGGTCTGATGGACTTGCTTTCCCTTCCCTTCTTCCTTTCTTTGGACTAGAATAACTAGCCCACATCCTCAAGGTATGATTTCCTTGTGTGCATACTTTAGGATTAATTACAATGAAGTATTTTTATGAATGGAATTGCATAAGTGGTTAAGCACTTTATAATGTGGATGATTTTTTCCCCCTGTTGTTGGTTACTGGAAAAATTAATAAGTTTTTTTTTTAAATATATCTCTTTAGAAATAGCCAAAAAAGACAATAGATATTTAGGATTAACAAAAAAAGAAATGTGTAGTGAGTTTTGTAACTGTGATTTCAAGGCAACAGTCACTTTAAATAGGTCCTTGGGAAATTCTCTAGGCTTTAGGCAACAACTTTCTCTTATCTGGCTATGCCCTAATTGTTTCATTCAGGATTGCTGGGAACTCCTAGCTCTAGGGAATTTGCCATGTTTCTGACTTCCAAGAATCAAAGATTTTAATAGGAAAAGGCTCTCTCTGTGTGTGTGATCAGTGTGCTTCTGAATTGGTGCCCTCCTGTTTTATACATTCTTTTTATCTTAGCTACACAGCACCCCAAACTTGCTTATCTAGCACCAACTAGTGTTATGAGTGTTAACACCACCAAACTCAAGAACAGGAAATTACTGGCTTCTAATCAGATTGGGACAATTCTCTATTTTTCTTAATTTATAGTAAAAGCAACGTATTTCATCCTACCAAAGAGAAAAAATGACTTTCATTATTTATGCACATTGGTGTGGTACCAATAGACAATTGGCCTTGTAGACAGCTGAATTTCCTTGCGATTCTACCTTAGTTTTCCATTCAAGGAGTGGAGAAAATTCATATGAATTCACACTGAAAATGTGTAATAAGGAAAAGTAGGCTAGATTACTTTTGTTTAGAAAAATCGTACATTCTATCTTAGAGATGGTTTTAACAGGCTTCACAAAATAAACTTTCCAAGCACTTGCAAAGCATGAGGAATCATAGATTAGAAGTGCTATTTATTGGCACCCTGGCCTCCTGTGTTCGGCATACTGAGGGTAAAGAGTTAAACAAGACAGGGACCTCAAGCATCTCTCCTATTGTAGGTTTGGAGATGGTTTTGCTAATCAGCATTCACACTGATCTATTTTAAGCAAACCCCCTAAGGACATGAACATGGCCTGAGCTCTACTAGGGCGAACCCTCTTAGCTTATTTAGAGTTATCATTGAGACCTAAACATAACTGTTCTCTAATGTATGAAAGGTTCTTCAATTAGTGCAAACAGCCATTGTGTGCTCTATTAGGCCTTCACTGCGTTTAGCGCTTTTCTGATTTAGGTCATGGCTTTGCTGGAGCAGCAGAGGGAGTCACTCTCAGAAGAAACATTAAAATTACAGGCAGTAACCGCTTCAGGAAGATAATGGGGAAAGTGGGGGTGGGGGGGGCTAAGACTGAGCCAGGGCTCTTGCCTGGAAGTTTTACTCCATTTCTAGTCCGATTTATTGTATTTGTGGCAGTTAAATACAAACTTGTCTATATTTCCCCATAATTTATAATAGAAACATATTACCTTATTTGGATAGAGTACAGTATTAGAGGTAAAGTTCTTAATCTGTACTCTCATATTATGTCCGAGATTGTGTGCTATTTGTTACAAAATGCAGAGAGACAGTTTCAACCCTCAAGGAAGGCAGACTTATGAGCATTTAATTATAATTCACTTTCTAAAATATAACAGCGGGCATAGGTACAGTCCTTTTGGGAGTCCAGCATCCAAAGATAGGAAACATGGTTCAGGCTATTGTGTAGTGGGGAGGGGGGAGGAACCCAAAATATTTTTATTACAGAGAGGAAGTTAAGAGCAGTGATTTGGCTGGAAGTGGTATAGTTTTATAACTAAGGCATTGTAACAGCATTTTACTTAGATTCCATATGATTTTCCTATAGCTTTGGGGAGATACAATTAAGAATTGTTAGTCACGCATATCCATTCTGTCGGTTAGCGTAGTGGTTGTCATAATTCTGCTTCTAGCACCTCCTAGCTGTGTGACCATGGGCAAGTTATTTAACCTCTCTGTGTCTCAATTTTCTCACATATAAAATGAGGATAATGTGCATTATACATTATATTTAGGATTGAATGAATTAATACATACAAAGCCTCTACAGTAAGCGTTAGCTCATAGAAAGTAAATATTCCTCAGCTTCCAGATCTGTAAACTGGTGGCAATGAAGCCTAGACATTAAAGAAATTAAAGGTCAGTGATTTTTAAACTCAGAATGAGGATAGCTGCTGATGCTTCTCCAAAAGCAAGAAATGGCACTTTCTGAAGAGATGTTCCAAAGTGGATCACTGTGAACTCCTGGACAGGGCATGGTTCGCTGAACAGCCTGTGTGAATCTCACTCCCTTTTAGAACATTTTTTTTTTCTCCTTTTCTGTTTTCTCTGGGAAAATGAGCTTAATACAGGTTCTAAAAATGCTGTGTGAAGTCATTGCAGTTAAGTCCTGGCAACAAGCTCTACTTTTAAATTTCCATCTTTATAAGGAATACTGTAAGATAACTTTTTATAAATTCGTAAACACTACTCTGGAAAAATCCACATCACATGCTAGGGTTTCTGATAAGGGTTTGGGGAAAAATCAACCCTTTGTATGAATGTCAACA